AATTATTTCAGTACCACATAAGTTGTCAGCAGGATGTGGGCAGGTTTTCAGTGCTTAGGGCTGCCATTCACATACCTCACTTTTAAGACTGTCCTTCGTTTCATCTTAACTCCTTTTATTTTGTATTATGCTTATCTGGTAACAAAAAGTATTAAGTGTGAGATTTCTTCATCATATTTTTGTATCAAGTTTCTTTATCTAGCTGAATAATAAGTAACATTTGAAACTCTATCAAATTCATAAAAACCTCATACTTTCCTGCTATGAATTATATTCAGCAGTTGAGAGCTTATTTCATTGCTATACCAACAGGGGATTTATAGACTAATTTCCATACTTTCCTTTCCCTTTCTGGGAGCATATGTCAGCTGCACTGCATCCAAAATCTCCCCCTGCAGCACAAGAGATAAAGGTTTGACCGGACTTGCACGTTAGCCTAGAACTACAGTAGATTCCTAAAACTGAAATTCCTAAAACTGAAATTCCTATTAGACTATCAGTACAATATCTGACTTCCTGTCTGGATAATATACTGAGTGGTCATGTCTATTTGTTTTTACATACTCTATATTTTAAAAGGATTGTTCCTTGTTTCTAGTGAATGTCTACCAAATTATACACCTTCGCTTCATTTTATCCACTAAAAAGTTGCTCCTGTATTCATAGATGCTGATTCCATGGGTGCTCTGGGGCTCAAGCACCCACAGAAGAAAAAATAGGGGGTGCTTAGCACCCACCAGCCATACTGGTTCTGGCTCCGTGGCTCACTGCTGATGAGCTGTTCAGTGGGCAGGAAGCACTTGGGTGGGGTGGGGTGGGAGGAGGAGAGGAGGGAGCAGTGGGCAGGCGTGGGGGTTTTGGGGGTGGAGTTCTTTCCTTAGGTTGGAGAAAAAAGGAGAGGGGTTTTGTTTATTTGAAATCTTCAGTGAAAACTGATAAATGTTCAAAACTTTTAAAAATCAGACCATTTATGTAGATGCCTATATCTGGACTAAGAACCTATCTCTAGGTACCCAATTTTGAAAATCTTGACCACTATTAATAATGTAGTTGCCACCCAAAATGTACAACTTTGATCTCCAGAGATGATAGTTTCTTTGGAAAGTTGAACCAGTTTTCAAGGAAAATACTTATTTTATTTGTTGTTTTGTACCTTGAGTACATAAAACATAATATTTATTACTACATTAAACCTAGGAAATAAATTTACCCAGAATTATATCACTCATCTTTCTGTTCATACACAGAAAATTTAAGGAATAATTTATTTGTAATTAAGAACTTATAAATAATCTGAGGTTGTGCTGTTGGAAAAATGGTTGAAACCTTAGGTTGTTTTTTGTATAATCCTTAGGTCACCTTACATGGGAGTGATAGGACACGACGTACCATAGATATAGCCAGGAAGCTGAATTGAGTTGCATGCCCAACTTCTCAGAAAATGATTAATTCATCCTAACTGTTAATGCCATGTCTATTTTATTAATTCTGGCCTTTCTTTGTTCACTCTGTGTCCATTTGATTGCATGGCAGACATGTACTTGTTATGCATGGAATAAATGTGATACTTTTGTAGGCCAAGTTTTGCCATACAAACAGGTGTTTGTTTTACTGCCCCAAATATTCTGGTAAATCATTCTGTGGTAGAATTCCTTTCTTAAAATATAAATATATATCAAACTTATCGTGCTAGCCTTCACTCAACAGCTTGTTTCGATAATGTGCAGACAATTCTAAACTTACTGTCAGACTCAAACTACATTTAGAAGAATATTTATTTAAAGAAAAATATGACACTCTGGTTTCTCGTGTCATGTTTTACTCATACTTAATATTTGGTTAAACATATTCTCTCTCAGTGAGAGAGAACTCATTTAAACAACTTAAGTTATTTTGTTTTAATTATTCAAGGCAACTGAAAATGTCTAATAAAACTACATAGCATATTGTATAATGAAAGTTGGAGTTGAATGATGAGATGGGCTTTTGAATAGTTAACATGTATTATATTTCATCAAAATTGACCATAATTGAATAAATCATACTAAGAGTCTAAGGAAAATAACTAGAACCTTTGGCAAGGTATAGCTGGATCTGCTGCCTGTGGGTTCCTGGGGTGAGAAAAAGTAAACGGTTACTGAATGGATCACTTTTTTCTTTCTCGCCTCCCTCCCCCATATAAGCCACCATAAAATAAAGGTTTTTGTTGTATTTCAAAATATGCAGTCTCATCATTGCTTAGGGGCCCGATCATGCAAACTCTTTATTCAGGAGAGTAGTTCTTATTCCAATGAACAATCCCATTTTATAATGGGACTGTTCTCCTGCCTGAATAAAGGTTTGCAGGACTGGGCCCTAACATACCACATGTTTGCACAAGAAGTTGTTTAAATCCAGTTATTTTCATCATCCTAGACAAGACACATTTTGATTTCTATATTAATGTGGCATTTAGGGTTCAACCCAGACCAGTAAGAGATTGTGTCACTATCTGCCCTGTAATGCTGTGCAGTCTTGATTCAGCGCCCTGACACCAGCAACATGCTCAAAGCACAGTAGCTTCACCCTGGCTTCCACCAGCCTTGGTTACTCCTTGCAGGGTGACCCCAACACCTGCACAGTCCCAAATTTCCCCTAAACCATCTGCCCTGTAGTGCTCACTGAACACTTACAAAAGTTAAGTTCACTGATCCCTTAGAGAGAGTAACCAGCATCTTATTAGCTTAACTGGGGTTAGCAAACACTCCGTTTTAATCAAAGCACTGGCTTAGTTTACAGTAAAAGTAAAACAAGTTTGTTAAACAAAAAGACGTAGGTTTAAGTGATACCAAGTATAAGGACTAAAGATAGAAAGGATTACAAGCAAACAAAAGTAAAAATGCGATTCTAAGACTAAAACCTGAGTCTCTTGTTCAAAGAAGTGTTTCGAACCAAGTCTGTTCCAGCATGGCTGATCATGCTCTTTGGCCAGTACCCCCTCAAAGTGCTCAGTTCCTTTGTCCCTTCAGGTGAAGGATGCCAAAATGGCGCGCGCGCCGAGTGAGTGAGTGTGTGTGTGTGTGTGTGTGTGTGTGACTGACTGACTTCCCAAAGTTCATTTCCCTTGCTTCAGGAAGCAGAAAGGTTTTTTGGGGGCACAGTATGAGATTAAGCAGTCCTCTCTTCCCACATGCTCTCCTGATGGCTTTGTTTACCTTGCCTGTAAAAGTGCTTTTCTTTGACTTTGACCACATCCTTTACTTAATTTACACTGGAGAGAAGTAGGTAGCTGCCTTCCCTCCTGTCTGGGGGAGAACCTCTTCCTCCCTTAGTGTGGTCACAGACTTAAAACAAACAAACAAACAAACAAACAAAAGGCATAATATCAGTGAGTGTCCATAATTCCTCATACAATGTTAATATGTACATTTCACAATGATATGCATCACCAGTATGTCATTAGTTTTCAAATGATATATAATACTTTTTAGATACAGATTATGACAATAGCATGGTAGGCATAGTGCGTATGTCAGGCCTGAGAAGAATTGCTGATACAGACTACACAGAATAGTGAACCACCACTGGGCCTCTGTCACATCTCTTTATTTACTTTTTTAAAATAGTGGCTAAGAAAGGGGATGGATTAAGAGAGCTGGGAATAGTCCTTTTTTAAAAATCCTGATAACAGCAATTTATGCTGCCCTGCCAGTATGGCAAAAACCTACTGCTAAACTATAGTTTAAAATTATTTCTTACTAGGGTTGCCAACCCTCCAGGATTGGCCTGGAGTCTCCATGAATTGGATTAATCTTTAATTAAAGATTATGTCATGTGATGAAATCTCCAAGAATACATCCAGCCAAAATTGGTAACCCTATTTCTTACTCAAAGTTCACTGTCATAATATCTAGACTAAAAAAATTAAGTATTTGAAACATTTAATTTGTAACAGATGTGTAGATTAATCCAGTGCATTTTCCTCTCCACAGAGAAATTTGATCTTAAATAAATGTCATTAACTCTGGCTTCTTGAGTATGCCTATTATTTGTTACAACTAAATATACTCCTATACTGGAGCATGCTGGAAGAGACTATCCTGATCCTGGCCCACATTTGGGATGAGCTCTGGGAGGGATCATGCCTGAAAAAGGAACCCCAGGCACACAAGGTCTAAATGCCTGCTGCACAAATCCCTAGAGTGGTACAGGGTGTGCACTTCTCTGTGTCTGCAGACAACTCCATAAACCAGTGCTGTGGAAGAAAATCAGCGCTATGGCCTTTCTGGTGGCTTTCACTACTGGGGTACTAGGAGGGAGTAAACAGAGGTTGCAGTTGTTCCTGGCCACTAATGCTAGGATGCAAGGAAGCAGAAGTTTCTTGTGCTCTCCCCCACAGGTTGCACACCTATACAGTGGCCAGGCATAATCTGACTCTTGGTTTTTTAAATTCTTGTTTGCCCAATGGTGCACATATGTGGCCTAATTTTCAATGGTACTTCTATATGTCATTAACTTTGGTGAGATTTGTGGCTTCACTGAAAATCACACCACCTCTTTTAAGTACTTAAAAAGTAGGTTTTGGCATTTATATTTAGGTACACAAATTAAAAATTTGCTACCTTGGTTAAGCAATTTTTTTTGCATTACAATTCAATATAAACTGTTTAAAGTTAGAATCTCCTATTCAGTTTTTAAGGGCCAATTCATTCCTCATGTAAGCACTGTATTACCATTTACACTAATAGAGTTGCACTTGCTTACACCAGAGTTTAATTTGGCTAATTGTATTTGGCTTATCTGTAGTTCCCCACAGAAGGATTTGTTGTTTGTTTTTTTTTAAATGAACTTTGTTTTAAAGACAAAACTCTAATGTTTTCAACAAGTTGCTGAAACAACAGCTAAATGTCATCTTGCTTGTAACTATGCCCCTCTGGAAATGCTTGCCTCAGTGGCATTTTTGAGATGCAGTATCAGTTTTTTGTCACAAGAGGTAATCTTTTGCACTTGCTTATATGTAGATTGGTGATGTACATTGAAAGAGACAGCAGAAAGGCTACACCAGGAAAAGAGCAGCAAAGCGGCAATGAATACCTGTCAAAATGCCTGGACCTTCTCATCTATCACATTGTGCAGGAGCTGCCAGGAATCCTAGGTAAATTCAGCTGGCTGACTACAAAAAGAATTTTTTTGTCTGTCTTCTTTCCTCACTCCCTTGTGGAACATTTAAGTATCTCTTTAAAGAGTAAAGACAATGGTAAGTAGAAAGAGGTTTTCCCCCTCATTTACTGTTTATGGCATTAGCTTCATCAAATTTCTTAGTTATATTGTGAGCATATAATACTTTGCATTTGAATCTTGAAAAAATGCTTTCTTTTATTTAATATTTCAATCGTGGTGGCACACAAGGTCCCAATCAGGACTCAGGCTCCATTATGCTAAGTGTTGTATAAACATGTTTAAAGAAAGAGTCCATGCCCCAAAGATCTTACAGTATAACCGTGATCTACAAAACCTGGAAGAAGAGAGATGCAATTGTATATATTATATAAACATTTATGTGAGAATGCATATGATTATAGTTGGGGCAGGTAGCACCACCTATTAAAGTTGTCCATTGTAAAACCCTGATTTCAGTTGCTTATAATTTTTAAAATTTTGGGGGTAAAATTTTACATGCTGGATTTCTGCTTCAGGATGAATTTTTCTAGAAAACCTCAGCCAATACAGTTCAGGTGTCTCTAATAACAAGGACAGGGAAAAATCATTGTTTTGCCCATGTTAAATTCTGGCCACTTCTTCTTTGAATAGTTCTAATGCTCCCATGCTGTGGACCAGGGACTTCAAATTTGGCTGGGAGTGGTCTTTGTGTCAGGGTGTGCTTTGTGCTAGCCCCATGAAAATCCACCCAAATTTGGCCAAATTATAAGCCATTGGATAATCACAGTTCACACATCCTTAGTAGAGACTTATTGTAGCAGCTAATTTCTGAACAGTCCAACCTCAGTGAGCATGCTTGAGCCTCTCTTAGGTCCTGGTGCTGACCAGACTGTGTGTGCACCATCCCCATAGAGCAACCGAGCATACTCCAGGCCATGTCTACAGAGGTGAAGCTGGACTTTCCCTGCAAAGGGATTGCGGCTGTCCCTGGAACTGAGAGAAGGGAACCTGTCTCTCCTGTGCTTTCAGTGGTCCCCCTGCTGGCACCCAGTTATTGTGGAGGAGGATGCTGTCTGTTTCGAATACTGGGGGCACAAAACATGGACCAGGGATTGGGATAAGGAGTCTGGGACTAGAGGGGTTGGGAGGGAGAAACTGTGATTAGGTTGGCAAGGAGACTGGTGCTGGGAGCTAGTGAGGGAAAAGGGTGGTGACTGGGAGACATTTGGCTGGGGGAAGGAACACTTGATATCAGATGAGTAGGGGGAAACTGGGACAAGGAGCTGGCAATTTGGAACCAGTGGGTGTGGGGTAGTGTAGGGCCTGGGAGCCAGATTGGCAATAGCTGGGGTGTGGGAGGAGAATTGAGATGGCTGCACTAAGGGACTGGGACCAAGAATCGAGGGAGGGAGAAGACTGGGTGGAGAAAGGAGCTGGAGAGAGGGTGAAGGTGGACTGAGACTGGATGAGAAGTCTGGGGATGGAGACTAGGATTAGGAACCAGTGGGATGGAGGGGAAAGACAGATCAGATGAGGAGCTGGAATGGGGAAACTGGGACTGGCTGGGTTAGAAAACTGGGAATGAGGCAGGGGGGGAGTGGGAGAGACTTGAAGTAGGGTGGAGATTGGGGTAAGAAGACATAGGAGTGGAGACTGGGACTGACTAAGCAAGAAGAATGGGATTGGGATAAAGAGCCAGGGAGGGAAAGAGACAGGACCGGGACAGGTTGGAGAGTATTGACAGAAGAGGTCAAGCATGGGCGGGGGGGAAACAGTCAGAAGAGTCTGTGCCCGCTAAACACACTTCCCTCCAGAGCCTGGAATGGAACCTGAGATTCCTGAGTCACCATTCCTTTGCTGTCAGAAAATATCTGTGAAACCCCTGGCAAGGCGTCTCATTCCCTCTTGCCAATCCACATAGAGGATGACCACCTACTATAGCTATCAGTTATTCTGTTAGCTCAAGTGACAGAAGTCTGTGTGTGGATCTAAAGTGGCCAACCCTACTGAGGACCTATGTAGGTGTCGTAGATGCCACATGATAGTATTTGTTTTTTCAGTTTGCTTTTTTAAAAATGTAGGAAATTACAAAACACTTCTGTAAAAAAATATTTTGGGGTTGCAAAGCCAGGCACTCAAATTAGAAAATGCCAGAATTAAGTTTGCCTGTGCATTATTTGGAGCCTGTGCACATATGCATAATGGTACAGACTTATCACCTTTTTAGCACAAACAAGCCAGGGTCCTACAGAGAGCAGCTTCACCACACATACCTTGTTTATCCCCAGAGCATATCTATCCTGTGCACTGAATGAGGCAGGGTCCTGTGAAAAAAATAGTATGTGATCATATAGTTAGACTGTATAATAATGCAGAAGGGAGTTGAATTAAGTTTGCATAATCTTAATTCTGGTATTTCCTAACCTTTGAAAGTTATCTTAATAAAGTTATTTTAACATACTTTATATAAGAAATGCCAACTATCCCAATCTTCCCCTGAAGCCATCATTAATTTTCTAATATGTTTATAGGTCTTGAGGAGAGTTTTGAAGGGTAAGATACTAGTGGCTTTTCTATTCAAACAGCCAAAGTCCTCAGGGACATAGTTCCAGTCACAGAGTACAATTTGGAAGGAGATACTAAGGTAGGATTTTGAGAGAAGCAGACAAGGCAGGGTGGGGGACAATGTGATAAAAGATAAGAGCAGAAATGAAGATGAGCAGAGAGTTGTGAAGGGAATTGCAGGTGAGAACAAGAAGTTTGAATTTGACATGGTGATGCAGCCAGTTTAGGGATTCAAACAAGGGTCATTTGACCAGCAATTTGTATGGGATGGACAGGGAGATGTGGGTGCTAGGGAGCCCAGAGAGAAGAAGCTTATACAAATCAAGATAAAATGTGATGAGGGGCTAGGTGAGTTTTGGCTGTTTGAACAGAAAAAATGGATAGATCTTAGACAAGTCTTGGAGAAATGGCAAAATTTGGGCACAGCCTGGACATGCAAGGCAAAAGAGGAGTCAACAAAAATGACCTCCAGATTAGAGGACTGAGACTGGTGGGGTTATCAAGCCTGACAGAGAATGTGGGTAGTGGAGAGTGTTTGTGAGGAAAGATGTTAAGTACAAGTTTGACTGCAAGACTTCCAGGAAGAGGAAACTTCAAAGCGAGGCTAGCATGTGGGATTGGATGGAGAAAGATACTCTAGGAGTGGAGAGGTCAATCTGTGAGTCATTATTGTAAAGATGGCAGTTAAAGTTCTCACTGTATGTTAATTGTTGTTTTTAGTAATGGGGAAAAAAAGGGGTAGCACTTGTAAAGTTTGGTAGGCTTTAAAGTCACCTATTTTTAAAATTTATTTACAAAGACGATGTAATATTTTGTTTCTCCCTCAAACCACATCTGTTCTTTGTTTTCCTAAGTAACTAAATATCAGATGACCATGTATGGTCAATTGCAGGATTAGGGCCTTAGACTGTATATGCTTTGAGGAGAGTCTCTCTCTCTCTCTCTCTCTCTCTGAATGTGTGTACACTGCCTTACACAGTGGGACTCTGATCTCATTTGGGGTCTCTGGTAGGGTTACCACATTTAACAAATAAAAAAAGAGGACCCTCCACGGGGCCCTGGCCCCGCCCATTTCCCACCTCTAGCCCCACCCCAACTCCGCCCCTTCCCCGCCCCAACCCCGCTCCCTCCTCCCTCCCACTCCCAGCCACGCAAAAAGGGCTGCCCGAGCGCTACCGGCTTCACGGTTTGCCAGGCAGCCCCCAGACCCTGCACCCCCGGACGGC